GGCCTGCATGTGATTCCCTTGGAGGAGACTCGGCTCACACACAGCTCAGAGAGGTGCTCTTCAAGGGAGACACTTGATTCTTGGTGGAGAGGGGAGGGAACAGCCTGTCTGGGCAAGCAGGCCACACAGGGGTCCCTGCCCAAGCCTCCCCAGCAGAACCCATGGTGTGGAACCCCTATGGTCCCAACACCAGCCGTGGCCAGAGAGCTAGAGGTGTCCTGGCAAATGGCCAGTTGAGTTGGCCCAGGATCGGCACTGACGGGGCGCTGGCAACATGGACCCCAGGAGGTCACCAAAGTCTAGTTGCCAAGAGCAAAGCTGCTCAGCCCTCATCAGAACCATTCACAGAAAATGGTTTTCTTGGTGTCCATGGCTGCGTGGTGTCTGTGGCATCCTCTGTCACTGCTTGTGCTCCTTAGGCTGGTCCTCCAAGGCCGCCATCATGGACTCGTTCCCTTCACCCACCCTCAGATGGGCCTGTTCCCCAGGCCTTGGCACCCTCCCCTCCATCTGCTCTCCTGGGCAAGCTCCTCCACTCTGGAGGCTCTGGCTGTGTTCACACATCCCAGGCTCTCTCTCTCCTGCCCAGAGCTCCAGAACCCTGGACCCATCTGCCTCCCCGGACTCTCCACTGGGGAACCCACAGGCACCCCAGACTCGACATGGCCACCCTGAGCCTACCACCCACACCCTGACCCATCCCTGTCCCGTATTCCCTGCCTCTGAGAGCGGCGTCACCAGCCACCCCAGCTCCTGAGCTAGAATTAGGAGTCATCCAATGCACAGTCATCCGCAACACCTCCCTCTCACCCCCACGTGGAATTGGTCATCAACTCCTGTGGGTCGTGTCTTCAGAAAGGATCCTCCTGTCTGCCCGCACTGGTAGCACCAGAGGACAGGACCTAGCACCTCTCTCATTCGCACAGATGCTCCCCAAGAGGCTTCCCTGCCCCCCTTACTTACCCTAGTCCATTCTCTACACCCTCCGTCACCAGAGAGACCTTTCTAACGCAGCCTGGCATATGGCCCACCCCTGCCCTGCTCAAAGTCCTTCTGTGGCTCCCGCTGCCCTCAGATAAAATGCTGGCACCTTCATGTAGCTTCCAAGGTCCTGCCTGTCCCAGCCCCACCTCCATTTTCTGCCACATTTCCAACATGTCCAGCGTCCCCCCCCACCCCAAAACAGGCCATGCTGGCCAGCTAATGCTTTTTCCTTCTCCCAGCAAGCTTTGCCTGCCCTCGCCTATCAAAATCCTCTATTTTCTTCCTGGCCCACCTCCTCCGAGAGGTCTTCCTTCCTTGTTCTTTCAATAAATTGGAACCCCCAGCCCCTCCCCAGTTGCCATGGCACTTTGCTTGTCTCTCTGGAATCCATCTGCTTTCACTGACTCCTCCCTAGACTTCGAGCTTCTCAAGGGCATGGGCTGGTCTAGTCTTTCTCTGTGTTCCCCGCCCGGTATATGGAGTTGGTGGCCGTAAACATCTGCTCACTTGAGGGCAGACTGAATTGAAATGAGAGAGAAAGCCTGGAATGCCAGCTCTGTCCCCAAGCCCCTGCTCCTGCTCCCTCAGCTGCCTCCCCCAGGAGCCCTCCCACCGCCTGCGTCTCCCCCTACTCCTACCTGCTGCCCCCAGCACAGCAGGGAGCCCAGGGGAGCGTGAGGGTGCCAGGAGGGGAGGCCTCAGTCTCCACTGGGCCAGCATGCACTAGGGAGTGGGCACAGTGGCCCGTGGCCCTGGGCCGTGGTCCTCCATGGTGGCGGTGAGCAGCCTCTCTGATTTTAATGTGGGCCTCAGTGCTTCAGTGAAAGCCGGCATGGGAAGTTGCTAATAATGGCACTAAAATAAAATATGCTACATCTGTTATGGGTAGCAGAACAAAATTAGCTGCTCACACCTCTGACATCCAAGATGTCTTAACTTAAAATACTCCTTGGCTTACTTTACATCATTTACTGATTATATTTAAAAGAAATACAATTTTGCAATTACTGTTCTTTCCAGCGTGATATCTATGCATCATTTTCCTTTTATGTTTATATATTTCTCCTTCATTAGTGCAGTCTGAAGGGTGATTAGGATTCTTCAAACATTTTACAGAGGTTAAACGTTGATTAAGATTTAATTATTACTGTAAATAGCTTGGAATGACATATGGTGCAAAAGCCTGACATATGTGCATTTGAATAAATGAAGTGCTATTTCCCAGGATGCCTCAGTAGCTGTTTAACAGCTTTCCCGAAGGGTTATGTTACACCTCATGGTAAGATTGCTGGGATGTTATATTTTGTTGGTTTTTGCAGCTGAAAGCTAAGAACAGTTTTCCAGTTTTTTAAAAACATTGAATATTTTAAATACCTAAATTGTTTTGCACAAATTTTTGCTAATTTGTCTAACTAGGTTAAACATTTTCAAAAGCATTTAGATTTTTAAGCGTGGGCGCTGTGCATTGTGTCAGTGGCAGCGTGGGGACGAGGGGAGCCGGCAGGGTGGAGGGGACTCGGGGGTGGTAGGGGTGCGGAGAGAGAAGGTGGTTTGAGGAGAGGGGGTGGGGAGGAGGCCTGGGCTCTGAGCCTAGCTCTCCTTTGCTCGGCCCTCTCAAATGGCCAAAACCTGGGTATTGGAGTACCAGGGACTACAGGGGAAGGGTCTCCTCTTCTCGAGGAACCCCACCATGCCCACCAGCTCCAGTCCTCACCAAACTGCCTCTTGTCTGGACTCTGCCATACACAGCCGGGGCCTCACCGAGCTCTCTGAAGTCCAGGCCAGTCTGTGCCGCCTTCTGCCTACGTCCCAGGGTTGTCGTGTCTGGACAGACAGCAGGTCCTATGACTAAGTTCAGCCAAGCTAAGTTACAAAGGCCTGGTGCCTGGTGACTCTGTCAGGCTGGGCCTTCTCCCTGAGGGAGCGCCTTCCCCACCGGCCCCCTCAGGCTGGGGGCTCAGGCAGGCCCCTGGGCTCATCCCCTGGAGATGAAGCCCAATATCTGGGCTGCTGTGGGGTCTCCAGGGGACCCTGTCCTTCCAGCACCTGTGCCTCTTTTCTTTCCACCCATTTATTCAACACTTAAGGAGCACCTACTATGTACCAGCACTGTGCTGGGCTTTGAGGAATCAGGGTAATAAGATGGCACATTTGCTGCCTCAGGGAGCTTGTGACCCAACGTGGAGGGGTAGGGGTTGTAACTGGGATAGAAGTACAGGGAGCCACGCCCAGCCTGGTCCAGGGCCTAAAGCTGAGATAGCAGAGATGAACTGCAGACAGGGAGGAGCACAGGGGTGGAGGGAGGAGCACAGGGGTGGGGGCAGGACTGGAATCTGGAAGGTGCATCCCTGGCAGAGGGGACCGCTCAGGGGAAGACTTGCGGGGAGCCCAGTGTGTCTGAGGAACAAAAATCAGTGTGCGTGCCCCGAGTCTCCAGCACTAGAGCAAGGTGGCGCAGGAGTCTGACTTGATCCCGGGGGGTGGCGGAGCATGGAGCCATTTGATGTGAGGAGAGACGTGACCAGACTTGAGGTTTAGAGGCCGGCACTGGCCGTGGGGGGATGAACTGAGTGGATGAGACATTGGGGGAAGGAAGGGGAGACAGAAAGGCTCCAGGGGCTCTGGCCAGAGCGCCATGGGATGGTGGTGTCCTTCCCAAGACAGGCAGCTGGGTTGGGGCCAGGGGAGATGGCGGATTCAGTTCCATTTCAGGCGGGTTGAGGGCGAGACCGATGAGACATCCTAGGAAGGTCTGGTGGGCAGGCAGGCAGCTGTGGGCCTGAGGCTCAGGGGAGAAACTGGTGTGGGAGTCGCCCAGGGGCATGTGCAGAGAAGGGGCCTAGCCAGGCCAAGCCCCAAGGATCCTGAGAATGTCGTCCAGTGGATGTTGGGAAATGGGGGTAGCAGTGACCTTGGAGAGAAGGATTTCTGTGGAGTGTGGTGAGAACAGAAGCCAGATTTGCTGTGGGCTGAAAAGTCAGTAGGAGGTGAGGAGGTGGACACAGCCAGTGTAGACAGTTCTTTAAAGAAATGTGGTTGTTGGGGAGGACAGAGACCAGGCAGTAGCTGGAGCGTGACTTGGGGTGAAGGGGAGGTGTCATCAGAGGGGAGGCTCTGCAATGTGGAGAGAGAGGGAGGACAATGAAGGAGGGCATCCGGGGTGGGCAGGGGAGGTGGAGCCACGTGAGATCTGCCTTGCGAGGGGGAGGGGAAAGCCGTCTGCCGTGGGGTAGCAGGAAGGCAGGTGTAGGGCCACGTGTGGACACAGGCAGGTGGTGGGTCTGATGACAGGAAGCTGAGGGGCTCCCCTGTGTGCCTGCAGTGTCTTCCCCTGAGGAAGAAGGCTCATCTGCTCAGGAGGAGTGGGGACCGAGTGGGGTGGCTGAGACGGCAGAGATGGGTTAAGGTGGCCTCTGTGGAGCATGGGCAGTGGAGTTGACCAGGCAGTGGGACAGGGGCAGAGTGGTTGCCAGCTGCTGTGACGGTCCAGCCGAAGTCAGGGACGGTGAATTTTGAGTGGTCCCCATTAGGTGGTCAGGTTCAAGTGTAGAGAGAGTGGATGCATGGTTGCGCTTCTGCCAGTCGGGGACTGGGCTAGGGAGCAGCTGAAGTGGTGGTCCCAGCTGTCCGGGTTGGGGGAAGATGTGATGACTGACAGGTAGGGAGTCTGGGGCCTGAGGTCTCAGTGGTCTAAAAGTAGGAGGAGGAGTGGGGTGCTGGGAAGATAGGGCACTGATGGGTCCAATAGGGTCTGGATTGGACTTAAGGAATCTGGTGGAGCAGCCCTGGGTGGTATCAGGTCCAGGGTGTGGCTGGAAGGGATGCTGGGGGCCCTGTGGTGGGAGGGTGGTGGAGAAGGAAGATGTGTCACTAGCAGGGCAGTGGGCCCTGGCTGGGGCAGGGTGGGGGTGCGGAGGGGCAGAACTGCAGGCACCAGGGGTCCCAGCTGCTGCTCCCCACCTCCCTGCTGGCCCCTTCCCATTACCCCACCTCCTCTCCCTGTTCTCTCTTCCCAGATTGAAACCTCCCAGCTGGAGCCTGAGATTGCCCGGGCGACGAGCAGCCGGACAGTGGTGTACAACAAGGGGCTGTGAGTGGTGGCCGGCTGGCCTGGAGACAGATCACTGTTCAGGCCAGGGAGTTAGGGGCAGGGAAGGAGACTCGTGGGCTGCATCTGCAGGGAGGGGCGAGCTGACCCCAGCAGTCCTGAGCCACCTGGGGAGCATTGAGCCTGAGCCTGCAGTGGTAGGGAGACTAATCCATTTACATATTAACGTGGGGACAAGGAATTCTAACACATTTCCTACAGAAAATAATCAAGTGCATTTCGGGCCTTACATGGGGTTGTCAAAACTCCACTCAGCACAATTATGTGTGAAGCTGAAAAGTTGTAGAGTGCCCATGGGGTAGAATTAGGATCCTTTTATACTTTGGTTTCTTTTTTATTTTTATTTTTTATCTGAATCAAGTCTGAGCCTTGGTCACAGCTGACCAGAAGTGGTAGTAAGCAGGTGGTGGGGGCCAGAGTAGGCCTGCGCGCTGGGTTGGTTTGGTGGCCAGGCTGGTGGATTTGGGATATTATAGTGGCCAGGCCAGATGGCTCCTAGGGCTGGAGTGGACAGGGAAGGGGAGGTGGTTTACACACCACAGGATGAACTCGCCATGACTAAGGTCCTCAGGAAGTGGCCCAGGGAATCCAGGAGCTCTGGAGGCCTCTGGAAGATTCTATGGGCAGCTGGCTCTGAGTGTGGCCAGCCATCATCCATGCCATAGCTGCAAACCAGTCTGTCTGAGTGAAGCACAGTGACACTGGGGCTGGGGTCACCCTTTGCAGAGTTCTGACTGATTCAAAGTCCCTGAGATGACCCCAGCTCCAGGCAGGAGTCCCAAGAAGGAATGATGCTTGGCAGGAACCATGGGCCTGCACTTGGCCTCTGAGAGACGCACCTCCTTCCAGGATCCAGGCTGGAGGCTGAGCAATGGGGCTGAGGATGGGGCTGGAGCTGGGCCAACTGCTGTCTGGGGAGCCTCTCCAGCCACCAGGGCTGCCTGCCCCATCCCCTTCTTCCTGAATAGGGGGCATCTCATGCCAGAGAGTGCCAATGCCAGGTCGAAGAGGCAGCATCAACCCAGGAACGGCGGGCCCTGGCTCTGGCACTCATGGGCTGTGTGACCTTGGACAAGTTCATTCCCTTCTCTGAGCCTCCAGAACCAGAGAATTGGATCAACAGTTCCCACTGACTCTTCCAGCTAGACCTCGCCTTTGCCTGCCCTGCTCAGATGCTGGTCATCCCACACACATCCCCAGCGCAGACGCTGGACTAGGAAAGGGGCAGATCCCCTTGGGAATGGCCAGTGCTTGGCCTGCGAACCTGGACCTTGCCCTTCTGTGAGCCCATATCCTAGGAGCACTTGACCTTTGCCTTTACAGACCTTTACAGTTCTGGAGAAGGTGGTGTGGATGTCTGGGCCTGAGTGTGGGGCCACATCACATGCCACCTGTCACCCCTGCAGCTCAGAGGCCCCTTGCCACTGGCTCCCACTATTCTCCCGTTTGTGTGCCAGGAAGGAGGAGAGGGCCCTTAAGAGGGCCGCAGAGTCTAAGGTTGGGGCAAGCGGGTGAGCCCTGTCTGAGAGGGCCAAACAAAGGGGAAACACTGGCTTCAGTGTGCCCCTCACCTCACCCCAACTGGAATGGCAGCCCTTGGCATGCAGCCCCTGGACCCCCTGCCCTGGTGACTCCACCTTGGGAGAGATCCAGGTGATCACATGTAAGAAAAGGCTAGTGCAGGGCAGCAGGGATGTGGCCTCCCAGCATCTTAGGGCAGGGGTAGTGTGTGAGGTGGGTCTTCTGTGGGCACTGACACACCTGTGCCCACCCGAAGACCTGATGCCACCTGCTGGCTCTGCAGGACACCACCCTGAGGGGCCTACTGCGCCCCCAAGGAGCGGCCCACCCGTCAGGAGCGGGAGAAGGCATAGATGGCACAGAAAACAAAACAGCAGGGGGAGAGGGACACCACCGCATTGGAGGGGCAGGTATTTTTGAGCCAATCCCTCCATAATGTGAATGTGCCAATGGCTGCTGGGCTGTGCTGGTCTCTAGGCCTGGGCCTGTCTGGATCCTCTTGCAAGGCTCACTTCAAACTCCCCCTGCCCCCACCTGTCATAGGGTCTTATTCTTGCGCACTTTATCGTGGGACCAAAACTGCCTACCCCACCCTGCCCCCTCCAGAAGCCTGGTACAGACAGGCCTTTCCAGCCCCGCCCAGCCCGTACCCACCCCACCCCTGTGGCCTCGGCATCTCATAACCTATTTGCTTTGTCTCCGAATGATTTCCATCATGCTCCCAAATGCAAGTTCAGGTGAGCCAAGAGGGCTGCTCCTGTTGGGGTGCAGTGTAAAGGATCCTTATAGCTCAGGGTGATGGTGACAGTGATGGTGAGGGACAGTGGGCCATGCTGCTAGGCCCTGGTCTGGCTTTGGAAAACCCCTTGGGGAAACTTTCGGCCAACACCTATGTCCTACTCCGCCAAGGCCAGAGGAAAGGAGGTCTGATGGGCAGACTGCCTCATGACTGGGGCGGAACCGAGCCTGGACCGACAGTCGGGGTGGGGCTGGACCAGCTGTGCCGGATACAGGGCACACCTGCAGTGCTTCTCCAGCCTGGTGTCCCTGCCCGACCCTCCTCTGGGCACTTCAAACATTCCCTCAGGCTCAGGGATGCCCTTCTCCCATTTCCAGATGGTAATGTGAGGGTACAGGGACCAGAAACCCGAGATATCCAGCTGGCTACCTAGTCACGCTGGCTGACAGAGCCCTGTGCATGTCCTGACTGTGAGCCGGCTGTGTCCCATCTGGGCTCTGGCCTGGGAGACGGGTGCCGGTCCTGAGGAGGAGAAAGGCCAGTGGTCAGATCCAAAGTGGTCTTCCAGCCTTGGGCCGGCATAAGGCCCCAGCGCACATGCCTTGGCCACTCCCAGGGGACTTTGCAATGTCTTTTTAACCTTCTCAAAAGATTTCTTGATCTATGTGATTTACGTAATACTAATGAGCTGCGGACAATAAATGATGAATTTAAAGCATAGGGCGTGGCTTTGTGAGTTGCTGGGGGGAGCCGTGGGCACAGAGACATAGTGCGGGAGGGAAGGGCTGCCTGAGGATTTTGTGGGACATCCCCGAGGAAGGTACAGACCCAGGTCCCAGGCCAGGCCAGGCCAGCTTGGAGGCCCAGAGGGTAAGGGACAGGAAGGGACAAAGACATGTGAGGGCAGAGGGGGTGAAACTCTGCAGAAAGACCCCCAGGCAGAGCCCTTACTGAGTGCTCCCTAAGGTACCCACCCTGAGGAACTTGAGTAAATAGGGAATTTGGGTAGATGCCCATGCTGTTTATGTCCATGGGGCTGGGAGGAGGGAGGGAACAGTCTTGGACTGTCTGGGGCCAGGAGAGGCCTCCTAGGAAGGAAAGCTTTCAGCCAAGTGGAAAGGTGCCTGCTGTCTGCAGCGTGTATGGTACCAGCCCTGGAAACTCTGCCCCTTCCTAGTCCCTCCCCTGTCCCTTGGGGCCAGGACTGCGGCGAGGAGTGGGGGCAGAGGGTGGAAAGCTGCCATGGTTGGGGTCTGGCAGACCCTGGTCCCAGCCCCAGCTTGGCCCAGCATGACTGTGTGACTCCTAGCCAGTCACTTCCTTCCTTCGTCCATTCGGTCGGTCAGATGTTCACTGAGCACCTTCTCTGTGTGCACTTCTCTAACTGAGCCTCGCTGTCCTTATCTGTAAAATGCCAAGAACAGCATCACTCACTGGACTGCTGTAAGGATGGAGAGACCAGGTGAGGAATGCACCCAGACTCTTCTCTCACTCCTCCCAGGTGTGGGGGGGCTGCCTCCCCTCCTGGACACTGGGCCTCCCTAGGAAGGAGGGAGAAGAGAAAGGGAGGGGGGAGGAATCTGTTCTCAAAGTGATACCTCTGGGTCAGGGGGCTTCTGGTCTCTGGGAAATTTCTTTGCTAAGAGCCCCACAGGCCACAGCCCCCATCCGGGCGGAAATCCTTGACTCTCAGGACAGACACAAATCCCTCCTGGGAGCTGTTTGTTGTTTTTAGCCAGTTTGGGGGCTCAGCTCCTGCCCAGCCCAGAGATCATTAACACTCCAGGAATGTGGCCTCCCCTGCCCCCATCCCCACCTGCCTGGCCCATAGGGCCTCCCTCCTCCCACTCAGGCAATGGTTAGAAGGAGAGGCAGAATGCTGGGGGATGAGGACAGTGATGAGTGACTCTCTCCCGATGCCCTGGGGACCTGGCCTCATTTTCTGAATGGAGCCTCCCTTAGTCCCCCAGAGCTGCTGTTGCTCCTGCCGTCTCACCCACCCCCTGTCTCTGATTAGCTCCCAAAACGGGAATGCCTCAGCCACTTCCCCCAAGGCCTAGCCCCCACATGCCTACCCTCCTTGCAGCACCAGGTGGCTCTCAGGGCAGTGGCCAAAGAGTGTTCATTCTCCATCCCACCAGTCAAGGCTGCTGCTGGCAGCTCATCTAAGGCCAGAGCCTGCCTCCTTCCCACCAAGGACACCTCCTCTGCCACAGCGAGAATCTGAGGCCCCACCCCACTCCAGTTCCCTAGACCTTATGGAAGGTGGAAAGAGGGAAAGAGAACAAAAAAGGGAAAGAGAAGGTGGACAAATGGACAGGTAGACAGGCACCAGACCCCCTCCTTGAAGACCCCATGCAAATCCTGAGGAAGTGAGGGAAGGAGGCTGCCCCAGGCCACCTGTTGTTGAGTCTCCTCTTCATATGTAAGTATGGCAGATGGAGGACAGTACATCAGGGCCCTGACTCACTCTAGGGGTGAACGACAAGAGGCTCAGTGTTGTCAGAGAATAGACAGCAAGACACAGGAGAGGCAGTGTGGCCCACTGCTGCAAGGCCAAGACCAGCTGGGAGGCGCTGGAGGCTATAGGTAGGCTATAGGCGGGTTCCTCTGGCTACATCTGGAGGGCAGCATAGACCCCAGAGAGACTGCTGGGGAGACCACGTAAGGGGCCAGTGCAATAGTCACGATCAGGGAAAGCAGGTCCTGGGACAGCATGGAGGGGATGGGGACAGAGAAGTGAAGAGATTCTGGACCGCTCAGCTCTGAGATTCAATCTGGGGAGGGTGGGGTCCAAGTTGGAGAGGAGTTCAAGATGACGCCAGGTTCCCGGCTTGGGCAGCTGAGGAGATGGTGGCGCCATTTCTCTGAGCTGAGGAGCAGACAAGGAAGAGCCAACCGGCAGGGAGAGCCGAGGCGTGCTGGTGTACGAGTCGTTAGAGGTTCCTCTGAGACATGAGGAGACAATTAGGTGCGCTTCTCTGGAGCTCAGGAGGCAGGAAGGGATTGGAAATATAGATTCGATGCCATCCATTTATAGAGAGCACCTGCAGCTGAAGGAGCAGGATGTCACCAGGCAGAGTAGGCAGGGTGAGAAGAGGACGACCTAGGACGGAGCCCTGAGGAGCCCCCGCCTCTGAGGCCTGGGCAAAGACAGGAGGCTCCGAGGAAGCTCAGCCACAGAGGGAGGTGTTAGGGGCTGAACGTGTCCTCCCCAAATTCATATGTTGCAGTCCCAATGCTCAGGACTGCCGAACATGTCTGTACTTGGAGATAGGTCTTCAAAGAGGCAATTAAGTTAAAAGGGGTCGTTAGGGTAGGTTCTAATCCAATATGACTGGTGTCCTTATAAGAATAGGAGATTAGGACACAGACATGCTAGAGGGAGAAAGCCATGAGAACATGAAATCTCTGTCCCCAAGCCAAGGAGAGAGGCCTCAGAAGAAACCTCTGACCTCAGACTAGTAGCCTCCAGAATTATGAGAAGATAAAGTTCGTTGTCGAAGCCACCCAGTCCGGGTACTTTCTTAAGGCAGCCCTAGCACACTGATCCAAGAGGCAAGAGGAAGACGAGGAGCGCATAGTATCCCCAAGGACAAGAGATGAGAGTGCTTCATGTAGAAGGAGTTGCCCGTTACTTAACTGGTGCTGAGAGTTGAAGGAAGGCAAAGACCAAGGCGGGTCCCTCCAGGGACATGGAGAGAATGGCCTCCGTGGAATGTGGTCAGGGCAACAGCCAGATGTCCACGGGTTAAAGAGGCAGTAGGACTCCCACTGGCTGCTGGCAGAGGTGAAGCCTTAATGAAGTTTGGCTGCGAGTTGGTCAGGGAAATGGCAATGGCACAACGTGACATGGAGCTGAGGGAGGGCTGAGAAGGGAGACTCTTGAGCAAGAGCCAGAAGAGACTATGACGGAAGGAAAGGGGAAGAACAACCCAGAACTGAGCCCCCAGGAGAATCTGGAGCCCAGGTCGGGGATCGGGGGTCCTCCTCGGCAAAAAGGAGAGAAAGGGGCAGGCGGTGGCAGCAGGTGGGAGGAGGGGAAGGGCTAGATGCAGGCAGTGTGGGATTGAGGGTGGAAGTCAAGGCTGA